CTGTGGATCTTCTGTTTAATGTAAGTATTATCAATGTGTTGGGGATTATTTTGATTTGGGAAAGTACTACATTTTCTTTAACAGTTACAAAAAAATTAGAGATCACAACCAACTTCTAACTGTGGGTGAAGGAAATGCTGACAGTGTTACCGAGAGAAAAAAGCCTTCAAAAATTCCATCAGGCCTGAAGCAGAAAAGAAGAAAAGGAAATGAATGAATGATGGAACTGGACATTCACTTGCCTTTTAATTTGATAATTATGGAATTAGGATTGTGATTATAAAATTTTATCTGAATTACTTTTTATGTTGGCCAGTGGAATGTTAAGATGCAGCCCTTCAATTAATTGTGGCAGAAGGTTACATGAAATTAGTAAATTTATGGATTTGAATACATTTTTCTATATGAAGAATGACTTCGGACAAAGCAAGTCAAAAGATAACAAAATTCTGCTTCTAGATAAGAATCTAACAGCAAAAATCAGCATGATTTATACAATTTTCTGTATTTTATATTCTAGATTTTGTTCATTTGAATTCTGTACTTGCACCATTTGGTTAATTATGGATTTGGTGGATGGCAAATTGTAAAAGGAGAGAAATTGGGCTTCAGTTCTATTCTAGTTGGGTCTATTTCACTATTTAGGGTTTAGGTTAACATCAAATATGTATAGAATCATATGCGAACTGCCAAAGAAAGTCAGTCCCATCTACCCAGAGTTGGTACACATTGAATTGAATGCCATTCTTTATGGTGGACTTCTGAATGCATTCATCATGGATGTCAAATTGGGGAACATAAGTTTGGAAATGATACAAGGTGGATAATTACACACTTATATCCAGAATGCAAAGGGATTTAAAGGAATAAGTAGCTTTATTTACATAAATTAAAAAAGAATATCTGTGCCTGGGTCATGCATACATGGATCTGGGGAATAGAGTCTGAAACAGCAATAAGATGGATCCATCAAAAAGTTGGTTGGGTAACTTGGAAACCAACGTGGTAGGTAAGGTTTCACAAAACTTCTATTTGGAAGCCCTTTATACATACCAAATAGAAAGCCAGACAGGTCATTTATGACACAGACCTGGGTATCATAGTGTCTAATAGATATTCTATCAGAGTTTAGGTCACATGACCAGCAATAAAGAAGATTAATAACTTTTTCTTCTTTAACTCCACTTCTAGCTCCAAAAGGAATGATGTCCTAAATATAGAGTAGTTACAGCTAAACCTAAAATACAACAGAATCCTGAGGAGGTAAATTCCTTATGAAATAGCAGAAAACTCTAAAACTAAGAGTGCACATTTAACATCTCTCTCCCACCAGCTTCCATGTGCCTGCAGCAGATAAGAAAACTTGCAGGCTAGTATGGGGTTTAGCCCTAAGGTAAAAAACCACATATCTTGCAGTGACCCTGCCAGAACACTTCTCAATTTCTCCATTTCCAGATTCTTCCCAGCCTTGCAAAGAAAAGGAGAGAAAAAGATAAATCTAAGATCTAGGACAGTGATCCTTCAAAGCTTCAATGACTGTTAGAACACTCCTGCCCTACCTTCATCCCACTAAAAGTAGTAGAAACTGATGCTGCCCAGCTGGAACCCAGGCTGGCAAACCCAATAGCCCTCAATGGGACGGGGCTGAGGCAGGTGTGTGATCCAGCCTTGAGAATCTGCTTACCAGCAAAGAAAATGAGTACAGAAAGTAAATAACAGATAATATAAAAAGAGCTAGGAAACCAAACATATCAAGAGGAAAAGCCTCAATAAAAGTTCATCACACATGCTGATAAATCAATAGGAAGGACCTTACAGCCAGAAGGAAGAATAAATAAAACCTCAAAGAGAATACAGAGCCTTCTTAACAATTATTATAATATGAAGGAAAGTGAACCAAAAATGCCTGATGAAAGACAGAATCCTGTGGACTCATCAGAGAGCAGAGAACAACAAAAAGGAATTCCAAAACAGTTCAAAAGAAATAAAATTAATAAAGAGAATAGTCAGAAATTAGAGCCCCTGATACAAAAAATTAAAAACACAATTGAAGATTAGGAAAAAAAGCTGAATCCATGACAAAGAATTTTTCTTAAGAAGTAAAAGAGATTAAAAGAGGTAGAACATAAAAACACTGCAGGGAGGATACTTTGGCAGAAGAAAAGCAACAGTGACAACATAAAAAAAAACCATATAAATTCTGAACATGCTAGACTGACCTTGAAGACAGGATGTGAAGAGATAACTTAAGGTCTCCCACAAAAACATGATACATCAAAAAACCTGAATACAAAAATGTAACAATACAAGAAAACTACAGACTACAAAACTTTAACTGAGAGAATCTACATATTGCAACCAGAGGGGAAAAATCATGCTTCAAACTCTAAGATAAATAGGTTAAAAAGAATTATCAGAAAGAAAAAGTCCCAATATTCACCAAAATATTTGTAGTTGTACCTAGTGTGGTAACAAAGAAATGTAAACAAAGTAGGTACCTGTCCATGGAGGAACGGCCAAATTATGGTACATGAATGTAATGGAATATATCACTGTGCTATAGAAAGGACAAACACGATGAATACAGAGAAACATGAAAAGACATGTGAATTGATACAAAGTGAAACAAGCAGAGTCAAGAAAACAACATAAAAACGACTACAATAAACAACCATCACACGTCAACCAAAAGTGAATTTTGCAAAATTACAAAAAACAAGCCTATCCCAAAGAAGAAGAAATAAAGGGGGAAAGCTCCCCTATTCCTTTTCAGGGGCAGGTCCACTGGTGTGGAACATCATACATTTTTAGATTTTTTCAATGTATTGATCGGCTTTGTTGATTGCCTTTTCTCTTTTTCCTTCTTTTTCTTTTAAAAATATTATTTGTTATATAAGATTGCTCTCTAAGAAGGAGGAGGGGAGGAGCACAGAGAAATTTACAAAATATTAAAGGATATTAACAGAATTTTATTTTAAAAATAAAATAAGAATTCTCAGAATCTACTATACAGAGGTAAATGTCAGCAAAACTGAGAATGTCAAAGAAACAAAATAGAAGATTACCTAGAAAAACAAAAAAAAAAATAGCTCCAAGTTAACACAACACTAAATAGAGACTACATCCAATTTCAAAACAGAACTGAAGCAACATGGACTCAAACTCACAACCCCACTACTGGAAAATGAATGTAATTTGTGAAACAGGGTGGGAAGGTATATTAATGGGGATGAGGAGGTGGATGACAGAGGGTAATGGATGCTATATCCTGATGAAGTCCATGAGTGAAGAGCAAAGGGATGATGGCTGTGATACCAGAATATTTTTTACGGGGCCACTATTCTTCGTGGTCTTTGAATATCATATTGCTGTTATTCGTTCATTAGATATTTTATTGATTGACCACTATATTGACATTACTCTGATAGACCTGTTTCTCTATCAATCCCTACCTGTTGAATTCCTAGCCATCCTTGGAGTTAACTTCTAAAATTATATCTAAACAAGCTGCCAAAATTTTTACCAGTCCACGAAACGTTCACAGAACTTTAATTTATTTCACTAAGCATTTTTACATACTGACTGTGTGTAGATAGCCATGTTAGATGCTAGAGAAGGTGCAATGTTTAGATAAAATATGGTCCTTGATTTTGTGAAGTTACACTCTAGCCAGAATTTAAGGGAAGAATGATATATACATGAATAAACATAATATTCAAAACTAGTCCCTTAAGTCTTCCTTGAACCTCCCAAAGAATAATGGCCTTTTCCCTCTCAGACCTAATGTGACATTTTGCTTTTTGCTCTCTCATGCTCTTTTCTATACTATAAGTAACTTTAATTTATTAGTCTATTTTATAGTCCTTTGTTTCTGTCTCATGTCCCCTTGTTGGACTGCAAGCTCCATAAGGGCAGAGCCTGTGTCTTATCTAAATGTTGGCTCTCCCTACTGCCCCAACTTAGCACAGTGTTAGAAACACAGTAAATTCTTTTTTTAAAAAGTTTGATTTATTGGGATAAATTAAAGTTCTAGTGAAAGTTTTGTGGACTGGTAAAATTTTTGGCAGCTTGTTTAGATATAATTTTAGAAGTTAACTCCAAGAATGTATAGGAATTCAACGAGTTGGGACTGATAGAGGAAACAGGCCTATCAGAGTAGTGTAAGTATAGCGGGCAATCGATTGAATTGATGTGTAAGGAGACATCTGCTAGGATGGTAAAGATTTTGGCAGTCTATTAGGTCTGTATTTAGAAGAGTTCTCTCTAGCTATCTTATGTACCAGAATTTTATACCAGAAGCAGTTTCCAAATCTCAGTGATGCAAAAGATCATGGATCTAGAGCTGGAAGAGGATTAGAATTCATGTAATATAACATTCTAATTTTTACATATAAAGAAACTGACATGCATAGAGGTTAAGTGACTCTCTCAAGAACACACAGATAGGAAATGGCAGAGCCAGGATTTGAACCCACATCCTTTCACTTCAAATTCCATCATTCAAGTCAATCCTGAGATTGGTAACTATGTTCACATCATTTTACTTAGCAATTATATCACTCATCTTTATCTTATTTGCTCCTTGGGATATAATGCTCCATCAAATCAGGTCAGGACATAAGATTACTTACTTTAAATCACAGTGATTCTTTGATAATTCCTTTTGCAATTATAATCTGTACAATATAATCAGCACTTCTTACGTATTACCTGATTCTCTACATCTTATTACATACAAATTAGTATTTTATTTATGTGTGGTCTTTTGCAAAAAAAGATAGTTCATGTCTATGTATTTTTTCCCATCTAAACTGTAAGCTCCTTGTGGGGAGACTATGTTTTATACTTCTCTCATAGCCTATAATGTCTAGACACAGCACAGCTGCCAGGAAATACTAATAAACACACATAAATTTAATGAAGTACTTAGCCAGTCACATTAGAAATGAATTGATAAAAATGAGCTCTTAAAAGCTTGTCCCATGACATATTATCCTTACCTGACATGAACGAAACTGGTTGACTAGCAATGTGCATCTCTGTGGATCTTTTCTTCCATCCAAGCTGTCCAATTCAGCAGCAACTTGATTTAACTCTTCATCTGCATAGTAAAACTGAGCAAGAAGTTGTGGATCTGACCTCTGCAAAGATGATAGACATGAACAGTATTATCTTACCTGTCATAAGGCAGATCCAAATAATACACCTACTAATATTTGCATACTTGTAAGTGAAAAAGGAAAGATTGTTTCACCAGGGCAGGGCAACATATAATACAGTGATATTTCTTCAATAGGATAGTCCTGGCAGCAATATAGCCCAAACGATAATGTCATATCTTATGTCCTACTATCCCCTACCTCAAGTCGTCTTGAGTGGTATCAAACTCAAACAGCAATGGAGGCATATTGACTTCGTTTTAAAATACAATGTAATCAATATTTTACTGTATTTTTGTTTATTTTGTTAAATATTTCCCAACTTCATTTTAAACAGGTTCTAGCACTAGGGAACATTGCCTTCCCATACCTCTATTCTAAAGGTAGAGATAAAAGGAAGAAATAGTGGTTGGCTCATCCATTTAATTTCAGCAAAAAGAGAACTTAATTAAACATATGAAGAATTCATAATCTCCAACTCCTCTGGGTAAGCCTTGGAATCTGACCTTTAGCTGTTTGTAATTGCTCCTATTTCCCAATTCTTAGTCTTCAGGCTGATACACTTACCAAACCTATACTAATGCAGGCAGGTCTGAGGCTCCCAGAACAGGACACACTGCCCTTTTATACTTGAAACATTCACTTTTCAGGGTTCTAGGGAGTAATCCTGGTGTACTGGGGGAGGGAGAGATACAGTGCTGCGCCTTGCCACTGTAGCTCCTAAGTCCTCACTGGTGAAAATCTCATTTACAATATGCATTTTCATGTGTTTTTTTTTTCCTTCTGAGGACAGTAAGACTGAAGTCTTCATTATGCATTTCTTTTAGAAGGGTTTGCTGTGTTTCAGAGTTGGTAGAATCAGCACGATGTCGTATATAAACAGGAGAAATTGGAGGACATTTTTACTTAGAGAAACTGTCGCTTTCATTTGCTTCTGCATAAGATGTCCTCTGTGACAGTGGAAAACTCCTTCGCTATGCCTCTGTCAATCAAACTTCACCTAACAAGTACCAAGTCACCATTCTAAATGATAGTGATAAAAAGACAAAAATGAAACAGTTTATGCCCTCAAAGAGTTCACATTCTATGGGGAGAGAAAATATGCACATAAATAAGTATATACATGCTATTAGATAAATATTTTTCCTTACTTTATACTACGTTATGAATTCTGAATTCCAGCTAAACCAGACAACATGTTCTCCAAACCTGACATTCCATCTGCCAGTTCCACGCCTTTGCACAGGCTATCGTCCATGTCTGGAACGGAGGACTTGGGTCCAAATCTTACTTCAGTTAGTATCTGTGTTATTCTAGTTAAATTGCTTAATCTTAGTTTCCTTATTCATGAAATGAGTTTAATAAATAACATCTACTTCATAGGCTTGTGAGAATCAAATAAAACGCACGTAAAGTACTTTGGAGATAAAGTGCTATATAAGTTTTTGCTATTACTATTATCTACATGTCTCAGAATCCTGTTTTCTTCAAGGAACAGATCAAATGACATCTCACCCGCACAGCCCTGATTATCTCAGTATTTAAAGTGCCTATCCTCCTTAGCTCCTAACATAACTAAGAATCTATTCTGCAGCTCATTAATTGTCCCAACTGGGGACAAAGCCAAGATGGCAGAGTAGAGGCAGCAGTTCAGCTGAACACTCCCAACATTCCCCTCCAAACAACTTTAAAATAACATATCAAATCAAATTAAAGATCAGCATAGCCAACAAAAGGTCAGGGTGAGACATTTTTTGAGCCCAAGATAACTTAGGAGGTTGGCAGGAAAGGTCTGTGACGCTGAGGTGGCAACTGTCCCAACTGGATCCCAGGGAACTTATAGCTGTCCCTGGATCCCTCTAAACCAGAATAAACAATGGTAAAATTTTGAACTCAATATTTTATTGAACATCAACTAGCACTGGGCTAAGACCTATGCAGTATTATCTGGCATGTTCTCTACTCTCAAGCAATTATAATCTTGTTAGAGAGATACATCCATAACTATATATCTATATTATATGTAGACACTTGTCTATAGTTATTTGTATATAGATAGATGCATAGATATAGATACAGATATAGATATGTAACCAAGTTTCAAACCTGGTATGTTTGCATGACTATCTTCACTTTTCAAAAAATAATTATTCAACACTCCATGTGTATATGAGAGGTGGTGTTGGCAAGAACTTGGGAGAAGAGAGTTGGCAAGCACTTGGGAGAGCTCAGGGAGAGGCCCCTGGAGAGAGAAATACTTTGGGAAGAAGCCAACATGTCTAGGAACCAGAACTTGACATGTCTCTGATTTCCAGCTTGTCACACTAGAGACTCTTGGGAATTTCCTCTTGGGTGATAACAGACACTCTTTCTTAGTTGAGCTGATATATCTCAATCTCAGTGAGAGAGTTCATTCACTCTATGTATTGTCTGATATATTATAATCATGTAGATTATAATATATCAACTGCTCTGATAGCTGTTTGCTATTGCCTTGATAAACAGATTTATTCACTGCTGACTATCTGTGATGGCATTAGTAAAACTAGCATTTGTTGGGAAGGTAGTCAAGTATACAGTATGGAGCACTCCTCCATTAAGAGATAGTGATGAGAAAGGCAGATTGAACCTTAAAATTAATTTCCTACACTAGCAATATTTAAGGGGAAAATAGATATAATTCTGGACTCATATCATCTCTCTGAGGAGAGCAGGTGGTTCAGTTTTGTGGTTCTAATTTCTTGCTTCCTTTTAGGAACGAATCAAAGCCTGTCTTGAAAGTGGGTAGGGGAGATTCCAACATTATCTATTCACAAATCCCTGTTAACCATTTAGACAAGCCCATGTGGACGTAAACATAACATACATGGGCAACACACACACATACATACCCTTAATGTAAATGAAATAATTTTTAAAATAATATAAAGGTATAATTAAGTACAAAATGTATAATAAAAACATTTGGTTTTGTGGGAAGTCTTGAAGGAATAGAGGCATATGGTTAAGATACCATATATCAAATTAAAAGAAAAAAAAGTTTGACCCAAAAAAGGAGTGTATTTTGAAACAAAAAATCCAGACTTGCCAAACTTGTTTGGCTCTGAAAACTACTCACGTGCTGTTTAAAGATATGTTTTATTAGCAGGAAAAATACACTATCAAGTTTCTGCATTTTATCATAGCTCTGTCTGTTTTATATGTCCCTAATAAATCCTTTTTGGTCTCAATTACAAAATCACAATTATTTCTTGGTAAAAAGTAACTTCAATCTGAAAGTTAATTTCATCTCAGAATTAATCACCATCCACATGATGTGCCACCAAGGGGGCAGGCAAAGCAGTCTGGCTAGAGTAGTCAAGGCATCCTAAGAGAGAGACAGGGTTGACATGAACCAGGTAAATCAAACAACTGCCACATCAACTTGAACCATCACCTCATCAACTGGACCGCCATCTCCCAACAAACACATGTGAGGATAGCCCAGGATTCTTGGCCCTAGAGCAATGGTCCTCACTTCACTCATCCCACTTAATCAAGGGGTACAACTCTCAAGGAGAAGGGACCCAACACGCTTATGGCCAATGAAAATGAAATTTCTGTTTCCCTTGATGATTTTCTGCAGTTTCTTTGATCCCTCTGAGTTTCTTCAGTTCCCTTACCTGTAAAATAAGGGGTATGAACTGCCTGATCTCTTATCTATGAAACTACAAATGCATGAGTGGTTTACCCTTTTTTTTCCTTCTCATTCCTTGCATTTTCTTTACCCTTTGAATTTTATCTATATTATTCCTTTTTATTACAAAAGTTTTGAGTGTTATGCAATAAACAGCCAACTAACAAGTTTTTATTAAATGCCTGCTATGTGCAGTTATTGGCAATACAAAGTACCTGCCTCCTGTGGTTTCAAGTTAAATCTCCCAAGGGTGTGTGCGCGATTATTTCCAGGTTCAAGGTACTGTACAAGACAGCATTCCTGAAACTAGCTCACAAGTCCCTCTTAAGTATAAACACAATAAGCTCAAAGAAAAGGCATTTATTGGATGGCATCATAAGAACAACAGTAACAAAGTACTGTCCCCATAAAGCTGGGGTATGTTCTCCCTCGAGCACTCAGAGCATCAGTGAGAAGAAAAGGCACATGAATATACCAGTAGAAAGGCACACATTTCACACACACATACATGCGGTCAAGGCAACTCATAACTCAAGCACCTTAGCATTGTACTATCCTTTGCATTTTCATGTTTGTTTTTTTTTTAATGTTGGATCCCCATGATTGCAATGGTTTTGCTGGGCAGGGTTGCTCAGCCTGTTCCCTGACCCTGGGACTTTTCAACTACTGACGACCAGGGTTGGTGCCCTTCTTGACAGAGGTCACAAATATGCCTACTCTCTCCTGGGTGCACTGTCTTCTACTGGGATAGTTCTTTCACTGCAGGACATCAGGACTGATGGGGAAGGAAGGAAGAAGAAATTGCACCCCATCCCCCAAAGCAAGGAACAAACTGCTCTCAAAGGCTGGGTTCTTCTTCCACGGCTGGCTGTCTTCTCTGCTGCCATGGGTCATATTCCTCAGAGCTGTCCTCTCTCCTGAGAGACTACTTAGAAAGTATATATTGCTTTTTAAAGAGCCACTAATAGCCAACCAATGGCTAACTATCCTCTACTTTCATCAAATTTTGAGGAGGAGGGGAATTCTTTACAACTTGTTAAAGGGGTAACTTAACATAAATCCTTTTAAGACCTTAAGACTCACTGTCTCTATTAACTTGGCTGTTCTGTTTATCTTCTGTGATTTTACCAAGTGAGGGATAGGTATGGGTAGGCAAGATCAAATGATCAGGGGTGTCTTACTCAATCCCCCTCCCACTTTATATAAATAAAAAAGTGGAATAGCTCCTGTACTGAAAAAAAAAAAATTCCTATTCTACTAGGGAAATACAGCACTTATCTAGGAGTGGTGGTCAGGGAAGGCAGCC